GGGCAGTTGGGGGCTACTAGGCCAGCAGGGGGGGCATTTGGGGGTGACCTGGCCAGCAGGGGGGCAGTTAGGGGCAATCAGGCAGGCAGGCAGGTGAGCAGTTAGGAGTCAGTGGTCCCAGATTGTGAGAGGGATGTCCGACTGCCGGTTTAGGCCCATACTGGTTGGGCCTAAACCGGCAGTCAGACATCCCCTGAGGGTCCCGGATTGGAGAGGGTGCAGGACCCCCTCCCCGCCATGCACGAATTTCATGCACCGGGCCTCTAGTAGGTTGATAAATTACCAGATTTTTGGTTTTGTTTTTTAGTTATAATTTCTAGTCTCTGATATTATATGCATGGAGCCTTTTTGTTGGGTGCTTTTGCAAAACTGATGCTGATAATCACAACATGAAGCAAGTCTTCCCAGTATATGGGCATGTTTCCTGTATAGATTACCAAGTTGACTCTAGTAAAAACAAAAAAAGAAAAAAGATACCACTCTAAAGCCAGACAGTAAACAGAGGATTTCAACCAATCATAGTCCATCATGCCACCTTTATAACATGGAATTAAACAACAGAAGCTGCCAGAAGCCTGATGACTTATATTTGAAATTCACAGAGCACCTCACTATCCATCCTCCTTCAAACCAGCCACATACTCAGTGTGGCATTGTAACTCCCTAAACTAATGAGCTATTCCAAAGAATTATTGCTGATGTTGATAGCATTCCAAATAGAAAAGCTGGCTTGTACCTTGGAGGAAAACCGTTAGTAATGGACAGTTTCATCATAATGGTGAAGACAATGTGTTTTGCTCTCTTCAGCCCACTGTTATTATAAATAAGTATTCTCCTCATAAGTTCCTAGGCCGATAGGAATGTAAAGGTTAAGCAGACGATTTCCCCTATCTGAGGGGGCAATCTGGGGGAACCCAATAATTATGTTGTTTTGTGATGGAGATGCTCTGAAGTTGTGTCTGTTGCTAATACATTTTGCATTAAAATCTAAGTTTGGATAGCAAAAAGAAAAAAAATAATTATTTTCCCTTAGAAAAGCCTGGTCCGTTGTCTTATGGCATCTAGCATTGGTGATGGGAAGTCATAAGTCAGTTTGAGCTTCATTTCTTTGTAGGTGACTTGGAGGTGATCTTCTGGGAACGTTTAGAATATTCCACTTGTCTAGATGTTTGAAATTCAATATGGTATAACTAGGTTTAGATTTGTTTTTATTCATTGGGATGTGCACTCTGGTTCTCTTCAATCTGATGACATGGATTCTTCTATAGTTCTGGAAAATTTTCTTTGGCTATTTCTTTGATCACTTCTTTTTTCTATTTTCTCTGCTTCTCTGTTTGCATTTACATTGGTCATAGGTTGTACCTCAATGACACTTATGGAATATCTTCTTTTTCTGTTGGGCATTGTGACACTTTAGAAGTCAATAGGAGCCATGAATGCCTGGACAGTGCGTGACCTTGAGAATTGCATCAATGCCTAAGCTTTTGTACAGAATCAGGTTCAAGAAAACTCATGTTCTTTTTAAAGTGTGTAACCCAGAAGGGAAATGCTAAATGAACAGGCTTTATTTATAAGTTCTCTATTGCTGCTTACCTTTTATAAGTTATCTATTGCTGCTTAACTTTTTGCTTATTCACTTATATTATTACTCACTGTTTATCTTTTACAAAAGAACTTTTAGGGGCCTTTAAATCTTTCTGGTAAGACCAGGTAGAATGTTTTTACTTTAGCAGCACTACTGAGCTAAAATTTAGGTTGGTTACCTAAATAATTCAACATGGTCTCTGAGGGAAAAATATTTTGTACATCACTTATTATTTTATTGCAAGCAATAAAAACCTATTCTTCCTTAAACAGACAAACAAACACTTTATTGTCAGAATAAAAGGAAGACATGAACAATCAAATCTCCAGAAGACCAAGTAGTAGGACAGGTTTGCTAATTTCTGTGGTAGGAATAAATAGGTAGTTTCTCTTTAGAATGCTGACCTCACAATGATTCTCCTCTAAACTATTTGTTAATTGTTACATTCTGTTTTAAGATTCAAGCTTCAAGGAGAGAAACTATTGGTTTAGCTTGATTCACAAGTTCACTTTTTGGGAAAAGATGGGTCTACAATTAACAACTCACAATGAGCACTAAGAATGGTGAAACAGTACTTCCCAAAGGAAAAACAGAACTTTATCATAAAAAAATGGACAAAAACAGCAAGTGTCCACTCTGTTTTGTGCCGATGAGCCAATGATCAATTCTAACCCACTGGTTTCTTTCTCATGCTAGTGCTGCCGCCTGTATTGGTGCCAAGACACAGCGAATATAACCCCCAGCTGAGCCTTCTGGCCAAGTTCCGCAGTGCCTCCCTCCACAGTGAGCCACTCATGCCGCACAACGCCACCTATCCTGACTCTTTCCAGCAGCCTCCATGCTCTGCATTCCCTCCCTCATCAGGGCAAGCATTCTCACAGTCCCCGTGCACAGCCAGCTACCCTCACTCCCCAGGAAGCCCTTCAGAGCCAGAAAGCCCCTATCAACACTCAGGTCAGTAAAAGCTGCCGGTCTATGTGGTATACAATTCAACACATTTATGGTGTGAGCATCATAGTTTTTAATCACTGTAACTCATGTTCATGTAGAGTTTTACAGTTCACATGGCAATCTCTTGTGTGCTCTTGGGCCCTGCCCAGCCTCTAAGATGATCAGTACTATATCCATTTTGGAGCAGTTATCCTGGAGCTACAACATGCCTTTGCTCTGGTTTTTGGTCCTAATCCTTTGGAAGCTCTCAGAAATTAAATGGACTTGAACAGCATCCTTTGGAATTTTGAGGTGTTTTGTTTGTTTGTTCGTTTTGTTTTTGTTTTCTAAAGCCAGTAGCAATAAGCTTATAAAGACTTCTCTAAGCTGATCAGAAAGAGCTGGCCAGAGGGCAGGCAGTATGAGTGCCTCTTTCAACAATCAAAGGGAGTCTCCCCTAAAAAGATGTGTAGGGCAGAGCGAGGCCCCAGTTCCAGGCAGTGCATTCTCCCTTTTTGCTATGGGAAGTAAGCACAGCATCTGAAGCACTGACCTAGTCAATTGATATTTGCTGAATTTAAAAAACATGTAGAAGGGAGAGGGAAAACCAAACCCATTGTGATAATTGCATGTACTATCACACCTGTAAAGTAGGTTTAAGTTAGACAATGAAAAAAAGATTTTATGTACCTCAAGAGTGTGAGAAAATATCCTGAGCTAACAAGTTCCTATAGGCACGCATAAATGCATTTGGTGCCAGATGTTGTGATCTGCCTCATTCATTTCTTCATATATTCCTTTATTTAACAGATATTTATGGAACTCATACTATATGAAAGCATTGCCTTCGGGTGCCAAAAGTAAAATTAAAAGATTAATAAAAATTATCCCCGTCCTCAAAAAATTCATAAAATGTGGGAAGGTAAAGAAGTTGCCTCTTCCCCTTAGAGTTATTCCTTTCTTCCTTTTACTCCCTCAAGCAGTACACCTACTATTTTACATATACATCTACCATTTAAATTCATCACATCTACTACTGTACATCTATAAATGTATATTTTATCTTTTATACTAGAGGCCCGGTGCACAAAAATTTGTGCACTGGGGGGGGGCGGGGGTCCCTCAGCCCAGCCTGTGCCCTCTCACAGTCTGGGACCCCTCGGGGGATGACCATCTGCTGGCTGAGGCCTGCTCCCCAGGGGATTGGGCCTAAGCTGGCAATCAGACATTCCTCTGGCAGCCCGGGAGCCCTCGGGGGATGTCCACTTACCAGCAGGGAGCAGACCCAAGCTGCAGTCGGACATCCTTAGTGCTGCTGA